TTAATTCGTTCCTTCTTTTATTGGCTCTTTTATGCAAATGTGTATGCATTCAATTGTTCGTGGATTTATTCATTCATTCATTCATATGTGAATTAATTTGTTCTTTCGTTCCCTGGCTTTATTAAGCATTGGAGCCTGCATTCCTGCGTTCGGCATTAATTCAGTCATTCATTCATTTGTTCTTTCCTTCATTGGCTTCATTATTAAGCATTGTTGCATGCATTCCTTCGTTCTTCATTCATTAACTTATTCATTCGTTCGTGAATCCACTGTTCGATGTATATATTCGTTGTTGGTTCGTGCACATTTTCATTCATTCAATCATTCATCCATTAATTAATTTGTACGTTCATTCTTTGGCTTTATTTATTCACTATTGTAAATCTATTCGCTTATTTAAGCACTGACTTCCGTATTATATTCGTTCAAACGTTTTCGTTTTCACAAATTTATTTATGTAATCATTCATGTTGGCCTTTAGAGCAGTAATTTTTATGGTTATTCGTTTTCTATAGAGCGTTGAAATGTCTATTTATAACGTCGTTTGCTATGGGTGTAACTTTCTGTCTTTCTTTCTTTAGTTTAACCTGGTCATTGATCAATTCTCTGTTTTTTGCAATCATTTGTTTTTCGTGATATCTCTCTCCACTCCTGTTTCTTGCAGTCATTCTTCTCCTATTTTTGAAAGAATTTAAAGTTGAAACAGGAACACTCTGGCATAGAATTGAAAAAAATCTTGCATATTCATTTTGGCAAAATATGAAATCTTGATTTAAAAGAAATTCCTTTGCACATGTTCGACATCATTGTCAATTTACGAGCTTCATTTCAATGAATAGAAAAACAATATGTTTCAAGGGACATAACTACAATTTCCAAACAATAATCAGACTACAGCTAAATAATGACACAAACACGTCCAAAACTTGTTGATTCTTACCAATTCATGTAAAACTTTCCAATAAATACAAAAAACAGAGAATATATATGTAGTTTATTATGAAAGACTAGAGTATAGAAATATAAAATAGTTTCTAAAATTAGATAGCAAATAACTATAACAAATTAACATAGTGTACAAATATCACAGACGTGAAATGGAGTTTTACATCCTAATTTGAATAAAACATAGAGAATGATACATCACAAAGAACAAAGCAAAATCATTGAGTGAATATTCTAAATTTAACATAACAATAAGCAAATAAAAATTATTCACTCAAATTGGGCACATGGCTGGAAAATAATTATATAACTTCAAAATTTATGATTTGACAAACTTCAATATGAAGTCTGTCACTAACAAATATAATTAATATCATTTTTCACTAGGTAAAAAAATAACATTAAAATCATACAAACAGCAATACCAGCTAACATAACAATATTTCTTTCTGAATATTAACAATGCAAAATACAAAAAAATATTTGCACTAAATTAACAGGGCCTTGATTAAGTAGAATTTAAGCTGAAATAAAGTCTCGATTTTAAGATAAACAGCAATTTGATTGGTTTATAAAACTAAACTTAAAATTGATTTTAATGATTGACCAAAACACTAAACTGTGAAACTGAAGTGATGGTGAAAAATCTTGCTGGTATTTGTAGACTTCTACCGGTACCATTTAATTAAGAGGGCTGGGATCAAGCTTGCTTTCTTGTTTTCAAACATCATTTCACCATGACATTATTTTTGATTCAATCAATACTGAAGAATGACAATATTAAATATTTTTGGGCCCCGAATTGGGAAAATCGGGCACTATTTCTAGAGTTATATTGCCTGGGTAGCCTATCCCTAATTATAGATTTGTTAATTTTAACTCTTATCATGTAGGTCTATGATCAATTTAATTAATTTATAAGGCATAAGGCTTATTTTTAAAAATAGAATCCATTTGGAGTTTCAAATCACGAATTTACGCGCTTTGGAAAAATCTCCCGACTTTTCACCAAATCTCCAGATTTTTCAAGACAAATCTCCAGATTTTTTCCCGACCTGTACACATGTATGTTTGTATTTTTTTTTAAATATGTTTGGCATTACTCACTTTGTTACAATTTCAAATTCCTAGATTCTGGGTTCCACAACTGCAAGTAAACTTGGCATTCTTACCATATTTTCTGGTACAATTAGAACAGCCATTTCCAGGCTTCTTGCTGCCAATTCCAGCGCCATTCACCTCAAAATCTTTGGGAATGTCAAATGGAGATTTTGCAGATCCTGTAAGAGAATTATTAACAGTTGATTTTATCTATTGTCCCTTCCATGGGACACAGTTACCCCTTGGAATACCTGCAAGCACAGGGTGTATGTGTGGGGGGAGGGATTGCTAGGTTACCTGCCAGCATCAGGAGATACATTTAACCATAATCTTACCAAAAAAATGTTAAGTTAAATGTGATTTAAACCCCAATGATGTTTGGACATGATTTTTTTTTGATCAATATCAAATATCCCCAGCCTGCTCCTTTGGGCTGAAGATTTAGATGGAATGGAAGATCAGTTCAAATGACTAGCAAGCCCATATTCTTATAATTTATCCTACCTCTTTCAGTTTTGTAACCTGCCTCAGTGTCCTCTGGGGTTCTGTGAGATTTTTGTCCACCATTAGGACGAGGAACATTTCTCGAATACTAAAATTTCAAAAATTTTATGTCAAAATTTTCTGCACATTATTTAGCTAGTAAATTCACTCACAATATTCACCTCCTAGAAATGGCAATATCATGCAGTGTGCAACGAGGCAAATTTTTTCAGTACAGCAGCATTAGTCCATCTAAATTTCCATTTCATTTTGTTGTTCATAGGATCTCAAATCAGCCTTTTCAACACATTGCTGACATTTTATCCCTTTCTTGGACTTGAGACAAAGTGTGAAATGAGGGAAACAACTTTGATAAAATTTCAGTACCTCTGCAGCCCTCTGTTGTCTAGCTTTAGCCTCTGCTAGATTGTGGTTCATAGAGAAACGTCTGGCACATAAAATCTGGTGTTTCTCTGCCAGGCTTCGAGTCATTCCCATTCCACAATATTTACAAGAGATCTGCTCTAAAAATTAAAAAACATACATTAATTAGAAGGCGGTTACATGATGAATTTTGTAGTATTTCGGGTGACTGATAGCTTATAACAGAAAAAATAACTTAGGAAGCAACAATATATTAAAAGGATAACAATTTAGGTTCATGAGGATCTTGTCTACCAGTTGGTCCTTGACCAAACCTCTTGAAATTGATTTTACAATGATAACAACTTCGGTTTACAAAGGATCCTGTCTACCAGCTAGCTGTTCCTTGGCCAAACCACTTGGCACTGATCTTTCCCAGATTATTAGAACCCAAGTACAGCTTCACTTTACTCTATCATTGATTGCTATATAGTGTTTTTAGACTTACCCTGTTCATAAAAGGCTCTCATTCGTGCCATTTTCTTAGCCTGTTTTATCTGGTGGAGTAGGTCTGTATGAGAGTCCTGCCAGTGACCTTGAGGTGTTTTTTGATAGGCTGGGTAAGGTTCAGGCTCTTCATCACTTGCATCTGGTTCCACCTCCACCTCATATCCATCATCATCTTCCTTCCATTTCCCACAACGTAACTCATGTTGGATCTAGAAAGTAATTAAATGATTATGTCCCCTTGATAATAATATATATATAGCCATTCTAATAAGGCATAATACAAACACATAAATAACGCACTACTTTAAAGGGACAGGTAGGCCATTTTTTTGACCAATCATACTTAAGTCTCAGTAATAGTGTTCACAGCTCACCATCGAAATTTTAGCCTTCAAATCCATGTTTGTCCAGGACTCGTCAATACAAGATACTCTATGATATATTGAAAAGACATATATAGAAATAGTGAGTCAAATTCCTAGTTTGAGATATTTTTGAAGGAATACTTCTGAAGACTATTTACATCTATTCAAGACTAAAATCAGCCCCCAAAATGGTGCACCTGTCCCTTTAAAGTACATAACATTATAACACAATATACACATGTCGTCATCAGATGAAATGAAGAAGAGAGGTTAACATGTAAAATTTAAAAAAACAAAACACACTTACAAGTTTCTGGGCATTAAATTTCTTGTAGCAAAAATTACATTCATATTTCTCTCCTGTAAAAAATAGTAAAAATATTAGAAAATATCTTCTTCTTTTTTACAATTATATATCAAGGACAGTTAATTGCAAGTGGAGAAAATTTCCATGATTACCGTAAATAAGAATTTTGAAAGGCTCAGCCAATCTTTTCGGCTTTACCAAAAAATCTTTTTCTAAAATTTAAAATAAAAAGTACACAAACCTGATTGACTGTGTTTGGAGTCTGATTTTTTGGGTTGATGAAATAAATATTCGTCATTTAGACCACCAGAATATCCTGTTTCTTGAGCTGTTTCTTTCTTTCGAGCTCTGGGTCTGGGTGCACCTGAACCTAGAGATGGAAATGAACCCAAACCATATCCATTTCCAAATAGACTGGGTCCTGTTCCAGGGTAGAAACCAGATTCAAACTCATTGTCCAGCTGATCCACAAAAGATTGAAAAGCGAATGAAAACGGTGATTTGGGTTGTGGTTTTTGTTTGGTATTAAATTCTGATTGGTAATCGTAATCAAAGTTGATATCATCATCATCATCAAAAAGATCCTCGACAAACGGTTCATCAAATTTTGCGGATGGCTTTTTAGTTTTTGATTTATTTTTATCTTTTTTAGTGAAGGAATCAGTCCAATGGGTTTTTTTCTTGTGGGGTTTTGTATTTTCTTTACTCTCACTGGTGGTTTTACTAGATTTGGGTTTATTTGTTGAAGATGAGGAGGTTTTGGAAGATGATGAAGTTTTGGAAGAGTTGGGCTGAGATGAGGTGCTAGAAGCGCTGAACTTAAAATCATTATGAGACCAGAACGAGTAAGAATCAGAAGACGCAGCAGGCTTGGTGCTCGGTTTATGTGCTTCAGTTTTTCTTTTGATTTCACTTTCTAATATAGTTCTTCTGTCTGCACTTAACAAATATTCATAAGAGTTAGAAATTTCTTTGAACTTTTCCTCTGCCCCTTCTGCACTGTTCTTATCCGGGTGCCATTGTTTGGCCAATTTTCTGTAGGCCTTTTTAAGTTCATCCTCATTCACACCTGGTTTGAGTCCGAGGACGTCAAAATGATTTTTAGTCATAGTTAGATAGGCCTATATTAGTAGTATAAACAACCGCAGTTTCCAATCGACTACCAAATGGTTTCATTTTGATCCAAAAGTACCTTATTTGGTTTCTTGTTGACCAACTTCCATATCAGTAAGCTTAATCTTGAGTGTAGATTCTGTAATGAAAAAAATATTATGTTCTAGTCTACATCATTGTATTTTGTTCTTTTTTTGTTTTAATACAGACCCATTCCGAAACCCTTTGCCTTTACTTTTAGTTTACTTTTCTCTCAACTCAAGTCCACGAAGATGTTTTGAGAGGTGAATATTTTATTTGGACTCCTCGAATTGGCTTAAGTGGTAAGGTCGGTATTACTTAAATGAGAACATGTGACTGAAATTAGGTTATCTACATTCACATTGCTTGACTCAACAAGGAATACCATGTCTCTACTTTGTATTGATTGAGGAAGTCACAGTCAGCGTGGGTGAAAATAAATGCACCCACTCTCTCCCCATGCTCTGACCTCAAACAAACAACAACTTGTCATAGTTGTCATAAAAATAGAATGATACCTGCTCATATGAATGAAAAAAATATCATTTCACAAGTTTTTAACTATTGATAAGCCACAAAATAAAGGAAATATTATATTTTTAACAGTTTGTCAATATTTTGTCGGCCATTTTGACGCCGAATCTTGACAACTGATTGAAGGTGAAGGTCAAGACTTTTAACTACCGAACGTTGCGCAATTTAACTACCGACTTCTAACTTTATTGCACATTTAACATGTTATTGATTTTTAAAGTCTGATAAAGATTCGAAATCACCATCCCTAATCATGTAGCAGACGACTATCCGACTATCTCATTTAATAGATTAGATATTGTAATAGTACCATTCTATTTCCACACTAATAGATTATTTTAATTATTAAAAGTGGTATTCTAACGTTACAAGAACCACACCGGTGTGCATTATTTATAATGAACAGGGGGATGAGGGAATTAATTACCATCAATATAAACCTATTATCGGGTCCCTGGGGTTAAGATATATACAGAGCCCGGAGCATTAAATACCAACACCACTTAATGTATGAACTATATTTTAGCATCATCGATGATCAATGACCTCCTTATACTCGAAAGGCTTATTCCATTTTATTTCGTTTCTTTTTATTCAATTTCGTTTCATTATCCCTGTTTCCATTCCATTACATTTTGCCATCACATTTCATTCCCTCGTGCTTCATTCCT